TGTTTTAACTGTTTACTTGATCTGGGGTTCAAGTTTTTTTGTCAGTTATTAAAAAAACTGAAACTACTTCAACTTGCTTTTCTTTCATATTAACTATACGTTCGGTTGGGAAATGACTTCAAATGAGACAATTCAAGGGGGGAAAACTATTGCAATAGTCTCATTGGACTATTGCTATCGCAATAGTATGTTGCACTAGACTATCGCTATCGCAATAGTATGTTGCACTAGACTATCGCTATTGCAATAGTATGTTGCACTAGACTATCGCTATCGCAATAGTATGTTGCACTAGACTATCGCTATCGCAATAGTATGTTGCACTAGACTATCGCTATCGCAATAGTATGTTGCACTAGACTATCGCTATCGCAATAGTATGTTGCACTAGACTATCGCTATCGCAATAGTATGTTGCACTAGACTATCGCTATCGCAATAGTATGTTGCACTAGACTATCGCTATCGCAATAGTATGTTGCACTAGACTATCGCTATCGCAATAGTATGTTGCACTAGACTATCGCTATCGCAATAGTATGTTGCAATAAACTATCGCTATTGCAATAGTATGTTGCACTAGACTATCGCTATCGCAATAGTATGTTGCACTAGACTATAGCTATCGCAATAGTTGTTTCCCTCTCAATCGTCACCCCTAATATTTGTATAGCGCCAATATTCAGCTAAGCTGCTACAAGGTGCTTTGATTTTCGCTCGATCACTGGATGTCAAACTCAAACGACACATCGTATTCTCAATCTCAACTCCCTGGGGAGCATACAACTCTTGCAGCAACTAAGCGCACCGACTTAATGTATCACCATCTAACAAAACTAAAACACAAACCATGACAGGCATGACACAAGGAGACACGGTCTGACAAACACGACAACAATGATGTACCAACATGAAACACTTGACACAATGATGAGAGAAGAGCGTGGCACTTGACACAACAATGAGACACCAACATGACACAAAGGACACGCATGACACAACGTGAGACACCTACATGGCACCTGTGAGACAACATTGAGACACAACTATGAGACACACTAACATGGCAGACATGACACAAAAATGAGACACACGAACAAGACACAACAATGAGTCACAAATATGAGACACACCAACATGGCAGGCACGACACAAAAATGAGACACACGAACAAGACACAACAATGAGACACAAACATGAGACATTAACATGGCGGGCATGACACAAAAATGAGACACACGAACAAGACACAACAATGAGACACAAATATAAGACAAATTAACATGGCGGGCATGACACAAAAATGAGACACACGAACAAGACACAACAATGAGCCACAAATATGAGACACACTAACATGGCAGGCATGACACAAAAATGAGACACACGAACAAGACACAACAATGAGTCACAAATATGAGACATTAACATGGCAGGCAGGACACAAAAATGAGACACATGAACAAGACACAACAATGAGACACAAATATGAGACACACTAACATGGCAGGCATGACACAAAAATGAGACACACGAACAAGACACAACAATGAGACACGTATATGAGACATTAACATGGCAGGCATGACACAAAAATGAGACACACGAACAAGACACAACAATGAGACACAACTATGAGACACACCAACATGGCAGGCACGACACATACATGAGTCACAACAACGCTACCCCACAACCAATTAAACCTCCTTTGAGAACATGGTAGTAATTATCTCCCTCAGTACCAAGCACGCAGACATAGCGATGCGTTTCCAACATCACAGGCACATTCTTTAAGAGAAATCCAATTTACGACATCCACTCATATACGAGAAGAGCTGGAAGTCCAAATACCAAAGCCTTAAGACTGTGCCATTCCAATCACCTCCCCCTTGAAAACCCCTCATGAAACTGACTGCAGTGAATCTTCGGATCTTTTAATTACGAGCAGTTTGTTCATTTCCGAAGAAGTCTGTCTTCCGAGTATTGACGCATTTTTGATTGCGACCAAACAGTGTCTTTCCAATAGTGAGAAACGCAACAATGGAGCACGGAGCCTTTCTCAATCTTTGAATTGCCCTCCTTGATTTGAAACCTTGTTAAATTAGCAAGCCACCTTCGCTTAGATGAGTTCTGAGTATGTGCCAGTCACGTGTCTCGCTGATGATGACACCGCTCCTCATAAAAATATTCTGACAAAAGAGCATCATGAGAAAATAACTTTCGCGTAGCTACTCGAGACAACTTTCTGTACTGGTTGATTGCTAATAAATCGCGTTTATATTTCGTTATTTTTCGCAAATTGCGAAGCAGGAAAAACGCTTCTCATTATCTGTTCGGAACAGTGATGAATGCAACGTTGTTGTTTTTATTTGGGATGATTATATCCGTCATTTCTACGATGACAACTAGGAACGTCTTGGTATAACCATTCTTCAACCTACTTAAACCACCTTTCCGCCTTGAATTATTCAATCGCATTTCGTATTCATAGCTATGTTATAGTTTTTTTACTTCATCCTGTGACGTCATAACAGCACAAATTACATCGGTCAAATTGTATACTTGCTATAATCAACAACATCGTCATTAAAGGGTGAGTGGTTGCATGAGAGAATGGACACGTGAATGAGTGGATGCGCGTGCGTGTGCGTGTGCGCGTGCGCGTGTGTGTGTGTGTACATGTGTGCGTGTGTTTGTGAGAGAGTGAGTGAGTAGGTGGTTGGTTGCGTGGCTGGGTGTGTCTGTATGGGTTGGTTTTTTGAGAGAGTGAGTGGATACGTGAGAGAGTGAGTGAGTGGGTGAGCGAGTAAGTGAGTGAATGGGTGGTTGAGTCAGTCTGTCAGTCAGTCAGTCAGTTACAATCGCTTTAGCAATATCGTAGCTATTCATCATCACAAGTTACATGCGTAACGGTTGATCTTTTAAACACAAAGCTCAAATACTATTTTCAGTTACCTAACAAAGGCATATTCTTGTCATCAAATTCAATATTCACCATCGTTTCAGCTTACAACACAACCAAGACGTTAATATTGACCCCACGACCACGCGCCAACAATCAACTAATTTACTGTTGTCCCCCCCAGACGAAGAGCTGGTAAACATTTGCATTTCATCCTCCGCAACGTAAATAACAACAAGGCAATGTTATTGTATCCATAACAAATTCATATGATTCTTTTGTTCGTAAGATCCACCGCCCCGATTAAACAACACAGTCGACGAGACACACACACAAGACACTGAAACTGTAATTAATAGTAGTTGGATGTTCACAAACATCGTTTCCCAAAAGGTTTCGCCCAATGTTAAAGAAACTGGCCAGAATAATGATACAGGATACCTCCAAATCCCTGTCTGTCATCGCATCCTTCACGCCCCCGCATAGCAGATACCATAAGCGGTAGCCTGTGATTATCTATGTGAATTAGAGTGGGCTAAGTACACAACCCTGTCGAACTCCATTGTCTTCAAGAATCGGATTGCTGTCTCAATTCAATACTCTGATGATTTGGATAATAATACAGACAAGTCCCAGGCTCCATATCCGTGGATGCGGGGCAAGAAAAGCTTCATTTATAATGTAACGTTGATGTGGATCAGGAACGTATTAAAAATATGATCGACAATGTATATTGTTGTCTTTCAGAAGCAGTATAATGCTGAACACAACTCAAGCAAGGACTAAACTTGTTTGTATATGTCTGCATGAGATGCATAAAATCGTGTATCTACGTGCATTTCTGGACCCGATGAGGCCAGATCTTAATATATGTTGATAAATGAGGGGCGGTGGGGTAGTCTAGTGGTTAAAGCGTTCGCTCGTCACGCCGAAGACCCGGGTTCGAATCCCCACCTGGGTACAATGAGTGAAGCCCATTTCTGGTGTCCCTCGCCGTGATATTGCTGGAATATTGCTAAAAGCGGCGTAAAACCAAACTCAGTCAGTCAGTCAGTCAGTTGATAAATGAGTTCCTTAGACTAGTTTGGAGCCTACGGTTGTGGGTTCAAATCCCAGAACCGATCGTGGTTCCAGGTCAGGATCCCGATCCACAAAGTGTTCGTAACGTTACGATCTATCGTAACTCTATATGACATCAATGGCATAATGCTACGATCGCTTAGTGGATAGGGTCCCAGCGCTACAGTATTCGTAAGGTTCACTGGCGGACTAAACGTCTAACGCCTAAGCCATGTTCCACGAGGTGATGGTAGCACTTCGATGAGTGAGTGAGTGAGTTAGTTAGTGAGTGAGTGAGTGGGTGAGTTGGGTTTTATGCAGCTTTTAGCAATATTCCAGGAATATCACGGCGGAGGACACCAGCAATTGGTTTAATATATTGTACCCATGTGTGGAATCGAACCCGAGCCTTCGGCGTGACGATCGAACGCTTTAACCGCCGGGCTACCCCAGCGCTACGATGAGCGTAAGCCTATGTTAAAGCATTGGAGATAGGTTCGTATATATGTATTTTTTTCTGCACCCTAAGCCAATGCTAATACCGTTAACTCCCGTTCCAAGTCTAGAGTCTCTGGAAGAACAGTCGAAATACACTGCACAACTATATGCATGTAGATGACACGAGGGGAAGATAAATAAATTAGGGAATGAAAGCATATTTTTTATGACCGACATCCTTATAACAGAGCCCATAAATCATAGCACCTTATCGCACAGGTGACAGGAATATCGATACTTGGCCTCGCTAGATACGGACAGTCATTGTTTATATAGTGATTGACCCTGGTTCACTCTCGATCGAAGACCATTCACTTACTAAACGTATTTTTTTGTACGCGAGTTAATCATAAAATATTTCCTTGACGCGTCCGCTCACATAGTCACTGGTTGGGTCATTGAAAGTGTTGGGCGAACAAAACGTGCAATGTGATGAATGCTTTGAATGCTTATTTATCGAGGTTATGTATATATATAGAGAGAGAGACACACCGGTTGGGGAATTAAAATGTATAACATAATAATAAAATTTACTTACTGTTCCTAAGGTCCTGTAGGAAACATGTCTCTTTTCACATTCTTTTCTGAAATAAAAAAAGTGAAATTAAATTGAAGTGCAGACAAATTGCATTTTTAAAAATAATAAGATATTTGGAAATTCATCCATGTGGTCCTTGTGTGTCCACAACCTGGGCATGATGATTTTTTGTGGCCAGTTATGATGGTTTTGTGAATCGGGTGGTCAGCCCTTCTGGAAGGGTTTGGTGTTGAGTGAGTGAGCATAGTTTTACGCCGCCTTTAGCAATATTCCAGCAATACGACACCAGGGGACACAAGAAATGGGTTTCACACGTTGTACCCATGTGGGAAATCGAACCCGGGTCTTCGGCGTGACGAGCGAACGCACACACCCCACACCCCACACCCACCCCTCGGTTTGGTGATGAGGAATGCAAATACAACATGATGATTGGGTGAGCTTTATATCGGTTCAAATTGGAGATGGGTTGGCCAAAAGGGAAGATTATAAAGGTGAACATTGTTGGTTAAATGTGATGAGTGAGTGAGTGAGTATAGTTTTACGCCGCACTATTCGCCGCAATATTCCAGCTATATGGCGGCGGTTTATAAATAATCGGGTCTGGACCAGACAATCCAGTGATCAACAGCATGAGCATCGATCCGCGCATTTGGGAACCGATGACGTGTGTCAACCAAGTCAGCGAGCCTGACCACCCGATCCCGTTAGTCGCGGAGATCGGTAGGTCAAGAGGGAGATTTTAATGTGTGAAATGTTCACAATGGTCCAGTATAGTGATTGGGGTGACCATTGAAAATGGTTTAAGTTTGGAGATCGGTTGGTCAAAAAGGACAATGAGAACGGTGAGCAATGTTGGTCAAATATGGTGATTGGGGTAAACATTGACACTGGTTTAGATTTGGGGATCGGTTGGTCAAAAGGGAAGATTATTACGCGATCGTGTGATCAGCTTCTTGAGGAAAATGTGAAGATAAAAATTTTAGATCGGATTCGGAAAATCTTCATCCAAGACTAACAAACGGGATCGTTTGGTAATTAAGAGAGGAATTGGGTGGAGGGGTATTGTGAAGGATAACTATGTGGTCAGTAAATAATAATAATAGTAATCACAAAAATGGGTATAAGATGTACATTGAATTAAGAAGCCTTGTTTTTCAACTCTATTGCTTCGCGTTTACTCCGCAGCAAAATACCAATTGGACCTTCAGAGTCAATATTTCGCTACAAGGACAGCTATAGCTATGACCATGAATGACCAGCTAATATGAATATATGTACAATTTGGGTGGTGATGTAACCTAGTGGTTAAAGCGTTCGCGGGTCACACCCAACACCCGGGTTCGAATCCCAACATGGGTGAAATGTGTGAAGCCCATTTCAGGTGTACCCCGCCGTGATATTCCTGGATTATGTCTAAAAGTGGAACAAACCCCAACTCACTCACTAATTGAGACCTGCCTCACATGAAGTTTTTCTCGCCCATTTAACTTAGGATATGTAAAATACTGTTTAACCGGCGTTAAACAAACCCACCAACAATCTGATATGCCGTGGTGTTGCTTTAAAACAATGTTTAAACTAGTTAAACTAATCTAACTCACGTACTTCGGTTGCCCAATTTAAAGATGACTAAACATCATGATTGAAATCCTGGTGAATGGCTTAAAACGGCGTAAAACTATACTCGGTCAGTCACATGTATAATTTAATTTTCACCTAAATGGGGATTATGTTCTGCTACTGGAGATTCTCTCGGGAATTCCGGATTGGAATTGGTTCATAGCGGAAGACTACATTGGTCGATATAGTCGACTGCATTGACTGGTGGTCAAACTAATCAACTGCGAATCATCACGCAGTGATTTGATGCTCATGGTGTCAAACACTGGACTGTAAGGTCCAGGGAAACGATTCACAAACGTTCATCGCTCTACGGGGCGGTGGGGTAGCCTAGTGGTTGAAGCGTTCGCTCGTCACGTCGAAGACCCGGGTTCGTTTCTCCACATGGGCATAATGTGTGAAGCCCATTTCTAGTGTCCCCTTGCCGTGATATTGCTGGAATAATTATAAAAGCTCACCAAAGTCACTCACTCACTCCGCGCGCTATCCATCTATGATTAATTCTCGAGTTACGACAAGTAACGATACAAACGCTTTGTGGATAGGGACCAACAGGCGCGTAAAACTGACGGTAAATAAACAACAAACTGAAAAAAACGTTGACTGAACGGAAACGTTGACTGAACGGAAACGTTGACTGAACGGAAACGTTAACTGAACAGAAACGTTCACTGAACGGAAACGATTGAAAACAAAAACCTCTCCGGTTTTTGATTACCAACAAGATCATGTTTACCTGACATCACAATCGTTAACTTAAGATTTAGAGATGCCTTTGAAAGCACCCACTGACACGATCTACTTTACGAGTGTTTTGTTTTCCTATGTTTGAGTTTGCAGCTAAACGTTAGCAAACACACCTTCGCCAGGTGCATGGAATTCACGAAATCCTTTCATAGAAATTCCATCGATCTTACGACAAGTAGAACATGTGCAATGCACATGTGTAATGTATACCAGAAGGATGAAATATCTCCCAGTGTATATTTCATCGACAAAGATGTTCCCACTATAACTGGAACGCAGCTTGTGTCAGTATTGACGTAGGGAATTAACACACTGCGATACTACCTGCTTGTTTAGCAAGACGTAATCAGGAATGTTTCTTGATGAGTACAATTGGCTCTCGCTACGCTTGATTACCGATAATGTTTCTCCTTCCAGGAACGGACTCCATGAACTTCTTTGATGAACAGCATGTGTTGATTTTAAAAACGTTCATAAACTCCTTTCCGAATAAAACCAAATTTCCATTAAATCTTTCGATACGGTCAGTCTAACGATACCGTTAGAGTTACGGTGTAATTCCCGTTATCAAATGTTAACGTGCCACTTACAGAGAAACATAAACTTGTCAGTTTCACCATTGAGATGATTGGCATCTTTATTGATTGAAGTTTTAAAACAAGGGGTTAGATGAAAAATCCATTAAGTCCAATTAACGTGAGTGAGTAATACACTGATCATATTGCGCGAGGAACATTAAGAGGGGGCTTCAGATGCAGGAGAAGATGACTTGCTGAAACGATGGCTGATCATAACAACAAAGTAACAATGGAAATCTGCTGAGATGATACCTGGTAGCTGAACGAATACCATCATGAGAGCTGTTGCAATCACGGCAACTCATTTGTGCATATTGATTTAAGTCCAAAAAGACCTGATGTAGCCGTTTGTGGTGTGAAATCAGTGGTATAAACACAGGGACCTATGTTCAAAACATGAGAGAGAGAGAGAGAGAGAGAGAGAGAGAGAGAGAGAGAGAGAGAGAGAGAGAGAGAGAGAGAGAGAGAGTAAGAGAGAGAGAGAGAGACAGAGAGAGAGAGAGAGAGAGAGAGGGAGAGAGACAGAGAGAGAGAGAGAGAGAGAGGAGAGAGAAAGAGACAGAGGCAAGACGGGGAGACAGAGACAGAAACAGAGGAGACAGCGAGAGAGGGAGCAAGAGAGAAGAGACAGAAAACAGAGAGACAAAGAAGACACAGTAAGAGAGAGATAGAGATAGTTAGAGACAGAGATAGAGGGGCAGAGAGTAAGAAAAGGGAGTGCTAGAGGCGCGCGGGGCTGTAATAACCTGTCAATGTTACACAATGCAGACTGTGTCACACGTATTCTTTTACCGCTGGAGGAAAGCGGCGCAGAGTAGCTGTGGTTGCAATCTTTGATGTTAATCACTCACTTAGGCATTATTCACGTGTAGTGACTCCCAGCCACTAATGTAACTAGAAAAACATAATCTTCAGATCCTGTCACAACTAAGGAAACACAACTCTACTACGTGTACTATATACGTGTTTTGACGTTTATAGTAATATAGATCACTAGAGTCTATAGTACTGACACATCACGACCATGATCCATCTGAGATTCGAACCAAAGACCAACCTTTCCTGGCACAAGCAAGGGACACAACTCTGTACGGTAAACGGCAGCGGAGTTCACAAGCTTTAGAACACAAGATGACACGAAAATTCCCTCATTAATCAACATGTAGATCGTATGCAGTCACCGAGACTCGTGAAAAATGAGAACAGCTGCCACATGTACATTTCAAAAGCTGTGAACATAATGAACATATCAATCATAACACTATCAGCATGAGTATGCAAAATGCACGTGGTCCATCAATCACCATTAGACAGAGGCTGGCAAAACAATGTACCGTGTTCCAGGAATGACCTTTCAGTTTCCTGTACAGGGGCCAGCTTGAAGCGGGGTCACGCAAGGTGATGTTCTATGGCTGGGCGTTTCCACTAAATACCCCATTCCAGCCGACACAATAATTGATTTCAGTCCGAAAACATTTCAGCAACTTGAGAAAAAATGGGATAATATAAATTACAAAATATACATTTTTTTCGTAATTGTAAAAGTGTACACAAAGTACATTTCATCATTATGACTGCACATACGTAAGATCAAAACCGCCCCGTCTTATTGAATGATAGTCTGATCCGGATAATACCAGCAAGTGTTAATTTGTGACATATTCCGAAAATATACGCAACAAATTAATGAAGAATATCAAGTCATCCATTGCATCCAAGCCGAAGACCCGGGTTCGATTCCCCACATGGATACAATCTGTGAAGCCCATTTCTGGTTGTCCCCTGCCGTGATATTGCTGGGCTATTGCTTAAAACGGCGTAAAACCACACTCACTCACTCACTCACTCAGGGTCTGTACATGTTTGGATAACTAAAACCGTTATTTTTCAGCACTGAACACCCGCATATTAAAACTTTAACATTATAATAACTCAAACATTGTCAGTGTGCAATACATTTTAACCACATTCATTGAATAATGTAACACTATTCTTTGTCCATAAAAGTACCTGTTATCATGATGTAATCATGTGTATACATAGCTACGTTATTTGTTCTTTTACGCAGCAGTATTTCAGCTACAGACGTCAGTCCGTA